ATCGAAAAGAAGAAAAAACAAACAAAACCAAAGCTCGGCAAATGGTTGGGGCATATGAGGATCGGCGGCAGTCTTCAACATGTCGAGCTGGGTATTTTTATGTACACATATATCCTTATTCATTAAGTCCGCTTTTTTTTTTTTGGTTTTGGTCTCGTAATTCATCGGTTTAATTAACTTGATTGGCTTTTATGTCAAATATCGAGCAGGATATTAAAGCATCTGGACTTGTAACAGAAGGTCTAATATGTTCCACTCCTTGCTGTGAAACTAATTTTTTTCTTCCGACTATGTCTGTGTTACTGACAGAAAAAAGCATCTTCTTCTCAAAACAAGAGATTATGCTCAAAATGATAACTGTAATATGACCACAAGATTGTCACTTATCTTAAAACCACCATAGCCATGTGTCCTTATTGGCAGCTATCGTAACAGTGTTTGTAGTGTGCTTGCTAAGCGATAGAAATAAAAATAAACTGGTAATCTAACTTGCCAAGTCTCAGGAAACTTGCCATGCTTAATTTACTGCAGCAACCATAAAAAAGAAGGAAAAAAACCCACCTGAAAACTGCCATATAGCAACTGCACCAAAGTTCGGATAGTTTCACATTTTGCAGCAAATGTTCTGCAGGTTCGCAGGTCAAGCGATAGAAACTGTTGAATATCTGACAATCAAAACAAAATGTAACGAGAAATCACCTATTAAGCTAACCAAAGTTTAAGACGAGAACGTTATAAGGGTGGTAAAAAATGTGTTTATGTCGTAAACAAACGTCTGCAGGCAGGTTAAGATTTCGTGAGTCGGCCAAACACTAAAGTAAGGGGTAAACGTTGAATATAAAGCATTGGCACTAAATGAACACGGTAAAAAAATACACACGTAGCGCGGTTGTGAGATAAGTTGCGCGAGGCCTTGCGTAATGTAACAGCCCAGCTTATAAACTGGCCTTGTTGAAGCGTTGCCGCAATTATTTGCTGTGAAAATTAGCACTACCCTCCGGTTTGAGGAGAATTGCTCAGTGTTACAGTGCATTAATAGTAGCAAGCACATGAAACAAGCGAAACGTACCTAAATTACCGCAATACTTTATGCATGAAACAGCAATGTTCCCTTACTTACCAGAAGCAATAAACAAGTCAATCGAGTGGATCTGATACAAGATGCTGCAACTCTAGTCCAAATCGCCGGGCAAAGAATTTGTTTTTTATCGAAATATGAAAAAGTTTCAAACAACGAACTTTTAGAAAACAATAACCCTAAAATAAATATCAGTAGCAGCTGCTAAAATTCAGCAAATGTGATATGATGGACAGAACTGTGGGATATCCGGCAAATTGTTAGTTGCCATTTCCGATCCTTACCTGGGGATTCTGAAAATGTGTCCTTCGAGTTTTTCGAAATGAGGGCTTCCCTTTTTAATTTCAATATTTAAATTTCTTTGAATTTCAATGGTAGACTTGAACGTTTTTGAGAACCTGCCGCAACTGTAAAATAATAGAAATCCGTCATTTCGTGCGATTCATATGTT